GTATTCTAAAATTATAAGATACCTAAAAAATATGGAGTTGTCCAGAATCCCCACATGTCAGAAGTCACCCCATTTTACTGTAGTCATTAGAACAAAAAATCTTTGGTTCAGACATTTTTAAGGGACCAAAGTTTACGCACGCTTATGTTAAGCACAAGGATCCACCGCTTTGTTGCCAGAATAGTTTAAATTAATAATACCAATGTTAGTTCCGTGCTGTAATTAAAATATTATTCGTAGGTACCTACTTGAAACTTCCAAATTTCCAATGTATATTATTAAATATAAATATGGAAAATGCAAATAATATTAATTCAACTTCCTGGCTACCGTCTTAATAATAATTATACCTAAGTATAATATAAAATATCCTAGGCTCTAAACGATTGAATTGTTCATGCATTTAGAAGTATTATATAAACTGCAAAAAATATATTATGTACTTTTAGTCAAGGCTGGGCAAGTTAATGATATTTTTTAAATTAGTTAAGTTGTTAAGTTTTTTTTTTAATTAATATAAAAGTTAAGTTAATAGACATTTTTAATAGGAACATCAAATAAGTTAACAAATACTGTTAACTTAACTCAATTTCAATTAATAAGTAAGGTTAATTTGATTTTTAAAAAAAAATACATTAAATAGGTATAAAAATAAGTTATAATCACTTGTATAGTATTATACCTATCAAAGTTGAAAGTATCAAAAAATGGATGTACTGGGCTGGCACTAGAAAATAATGATGGGGGGGGGTTAGTTAGTGACCCACTTTTTTATATGGTACTTAAGTGATAAAATTAAATAAAAAAGGCCCTCTGCTGTACAGTAGGTTACAAGTGGGTCATAATATGTATAGTATATATTATTATTTTATTAAAAATAACTGTGGTATTAATAAAATGGGAAATATGCTGAAAAACAAAATATAAATAATACGATACCCCGTGAAAAACATCATCAAAAAGGTGCTCTGCTGTACGGTAACTGTATAATGGATAGTGTTACGTACCTACGTATTTAGTAATTAAGTAATAACAATGTACGACGTAGCGCAGGTTTCTAATAGTACTCGACGATATAATTAATAAGGCAATTAGTATATTATAACACGTTAGGGACACTGTAAAAGTATCTCTCTAGGAAAGTCAAACATTCATACGAAGGATACGAGTCGACCAGCATACCAAGTACGAGACCAGGACTCTGTCTCATGACCGAATTTTGCCACTACTATGACCACCCACTCCAAAGGACTCGATCATATAAATACCAGCCCAGGACAAGAGCTCGTCAGACGGTTAGGGATACTCAAGACACTTGGAGGCAGGTCGTAAAACCACTCACAGTCTTAGTATCATTTTGGAGGCAGGTCGTAACACCACTCAAAATCTTAGTAACAATTCAGAGTCAGGTCGTAACACCGCTCACCTCTCTACATAAGCTTTATACATTGTAATTTTGTACTTAAATAAATACTCATAATAACCTATTGCATCAAGTATTCATTTCCACGTTGATGTATATATCGACGTCAGTTGGGACGCAACAGAATTTTGGCGCTGTGGACAGGGTCTTCCAAGATACAAGGAACATTCAATAATATTTTTCGAAATATTTTGGATCAACTTCAATCAACAGAGGCAACTTCACCTTCGTGGATCACCGTTGAGCTGAGGAGTGCACGCTTCAATTCAACGACTCTGGGAAGACCGAACGTTTGTTACAATCCAACTACGGCGAGAGAGATCAAGCAACGAGATGAATACAGCAATGTTGTAAGCATAATTTATATAACCGTCTCCTTTGGTCTATTGGTCCATCGTAATTAGGGAAAATTATTAAAGAAAGGGCATATTATAAAAATATTATTAAAATATTATTGAAGGGCATATTATAAAAAGTTATTTAAGGGGCAATTTTTTGAAGATATTATTGAAGTTATTAAAGGGCATTTATTGAAGTTATTTTTATGAATTATTAAAGGGCATTTATTGATTATTATTGAAGGGCAATTATTGATTATTATTGAAGATTATTTTGTGAACTATTAAAGGGCATTTATTGAGAAGTTATTATTATGAATTATTAAGGGTATTTTATATTATTTTGAGAATTATTGTGAATTATTACAGGGCATTATTGAGATTATTATTGAGATTATTATTAATTATTGAGGCCATATTTTTGAGTTCATCTTATTATTGATACGGAGCGTCTTTCCGGGACGTCCGTGATCGTGAATAACAATGCGTTGTGTATCGTTATGGTATCGTTTATTATATAATCAATAAATAATGTTTATAATGATCGGGGCAAGTTATCCCGGGCCGCGCGGCAGGCTTGAAGAAGCGGCCGCGGCGGGCGGGTTCGGGCCTGAAGAGGCGCGAGCAAAACAATAGTCGGGACTTGCCTATACGTTTCGTAAAAATAGTACAATAATAGGGGAGAGTAGGAACCGTCCGTGCACGGACTCGAGCAAGTCGTGTGGGTTCGGTTCTTCCTCGCGGTGAAACTTGAATAAGCTCACCGTGGGGGGAAACGTGGTATTACTTGTCGGCTTGCTGAATAGTCGATTGGCCAAGTTACGTCGCGAAGTCGGTTCCCGGCGTGTCTTGGTATTCGTCCAACGGCGTGACTGGACTCGATTGAACGGGTGGACTGACAGTAATGGATCGCCGGAGTATAATTATATTATACGCTGCCGTCGGTGGGTTAATCAGGTCCCGGTGTGGCGGCTATCCGTTGTCGTCGATCGCTGGATGCACACGGTAGGCTTGGCGTCGTCGGTCCGTGAAGTGGCGCTTGTTAGCCAGGTATGCCGGGTACTGTTGAGTCTCGGCGGTATCGAGCGATCACGTTAGACCGGTGCGTTCAGGGTGCGTCGTCGTGGACTGGCTAGGTCGAATCAGCTTCGCCGGCGTCGTTCCGGTCGGTGTTGCTGCAGCGTCGTTAGTCTTCGGGTCTTCGGGTCTTCAGGTCTTCGGGTCTTCTATAGTGTTTGTTGACTTGTAGAAGATATGTTGAAGACTGGTGTGGAAGATAATTTGGCCGGTGAACTGTCCCGGTATATATACTATTTGTTTCTCTTTGTTGTCCTGTGATTGGTCGAGGGTGGTTGCTTTGACAAGCAATAACCACACCTCGACCCGTTGGTGTTCGTTTTGTTAATGTGGTTTTCGCTTGTTATTTCCGTGAAACTTTCCTGTTGACAAACTACTTATTCTGATATGTCGCGTCTATTACTTGTGTCGTATTATGTTGCCATACTGTTGTGTTAGGTGGTCCTGAAAAGGACCATTTTGATATAGTGACGGTTTATCCCGTTATATTATTTAAGTACAACTCCCTTGGAATTAGCTACTCCATTGTATAGAACACGTGTAGATTTTGTAGCCCATGTTTTAAAGTCCCTAGCCCATGTTTAAAGCCCGCCAGCCCGAGTAGAAGCCCCAGCCGAATTTAAAACCCAAATCGAATAAAAAATAATAAGTCAATTAAGATCAATCATCACATAATCACATAATCACCATCGTCAACCGTCACCAACCGTCGACAAGTCCAGTGCTCGATAACACTCAAGTCACCAACTCAAGTGACGCTCAGCGTTGAACACGGCACTGCTTCGGCTGTACCAACTTCAAACCCAGACACTATATTACGTAAGTACTACTTTTACTAGTCCCCCCCTCTGACCACGAGGCAAGTGTACCTGAGAGGTCACGTGGCCGGGTCTCGCCCCGGAGCGAAGGCAAACCCAAAACATCAATCTAACACGAAATCGGTCCCCCTCGCGCAATGACCAAGAGGAAAAAGAGATCGTCAAACCCACCATCGACGAAAAGAGGTCCTCAACGAACGCAACCTAAATCGCCAACACCTTCATCTGAATCAGTAAACTCCGTGGATAGCTGGCATAGTAGCTCAAGCGAATCATCAACTACACGCTCTCCAACACCCGAACTTTGTGAAAACAAACCTACGAACAACTCTGCTAATGATATTAAAACTCTCCGCATACCACCGATCCTTATTCAAACATGCGAGGAAAACCCATGGCGGAAAATTGCGAAAAACTTGTATTCAATACAAGGCCTTGACAAAGTATCTGCAAAAACCACATCAATTCCTTGGCAAATCCAACTAAACTGTCCCGAAGAAACCTCATTCCGCCTAGTTCAAAAATTCCTGACCGAAAACAAGATTGACTACCACACCTTCGCTCTTCCCCAAGAAAAGTCTCTTAAAATAGCAATTAAAGGCATCCCTATCGACGTAACCGAAGACGAGCTCTCTAAAGAACTTTTTGATATCGGATTTGAACCTAATTTTATACGTGCTTTCCAAAAAGGCGACAAAAGAATCCCAATACATATGGTATCCTTAAAACGCTCACCAAATGTTAAAGACATTTTCACTATTAGCAACCTATTTTACGTTAAAGTCATAGTAGAACCGTACAGATCATCCGGCCCAGCACAGTGCTTTTCGTGCCAACGATTCGGACACTCTTCTCTACAATGCGGCCACACACCTCGCTGTGTTAAATGTGGCAACAATCACGCTAGTAGCGCATGCACTAAAGATAAAGATACAAAAGCCACCTGCTGCAACTGCAATGGAGACCACACGGCCAACTACCGAGGCTGTCCTTCATATACAGAGATCGTCAAACAAAAATCCACTCAAATACAAAACTCGTTTAAGAAGAATAAACCCACTGAAATCCTATCAAAAACCTACGACCTGAACACCAGCCAACAACCTGCGTCTCACAAAACATACTCAGCTGTCACCAAAAATACAACAGGAAGTCACAATCCAGATAACATTAGAAACACACTAAACCCAACTACAGCAAAAGAACCTACGATATCCGCTACCCAAATACTAAAGATCATTAAACAACTCCTTTCTACCATCCAAGACTGTGTAGACAACTTTGCCAAGGAAACCATCCTATCTACAATAATGTCAATAATAGACTCAGTTTCCCTAAACCAAGATGGATGAACTGAGAATACTACAATGGAACTGCAATGGTATAACAAACAAAACTTACGAACTTGCAGAATTCACTCGGAAAAACAAAATTGACATCATACTACTCGGGGAAACCCGCCTAAACAAAACAGCCCCTCTCAAATTACCAAACTACTACACATATCGAACAGACCGTCCACCCAAACCTAAGTGCCCCTCATCTGGTGGCACAGCAATACTAGTAAAAAATAACATAATTCATGAAGAAATCATCATTAAAACAAAACTAGACTCCACCACTATCGCCATGGCAATAGGCGCAAAAACCGTACGTGTATCGGCAGAATATAAAAGTCCAGGAGATAAGATTGAAATCAAAGACATCGATGCCCTAACCAATGGTACCGAATCCTTTATTATAGCAGGCGACTTAAACGCAAAACACCCATCATGGCACAGCAGACGAACAAACCAGACGGGGAAAATTCTACTGGACCATATGGAAAGGAACGGTCAATACACCATTTGCGCTCCAGATTCACCAACCCATTTTCCATTTATACCACACCACAACCCTGATGTACTGGATATTACACTAACAAACCTGCAACAAGATATGACAATATCAAATTTCAACGATCTCTCTTCAGATCACAACCCAATCCTAATTACTATCAACAAATCACCTAAAACAAACACACCTCCTCTAGCAAATCGTAGAATAAACTGGAAGAAGTTTAAGGCTGAAATGACAATGCACCCACTCAAACACCAAGCCATCACTAATCCAAAGGAGATTGAAGACAATATCGAGAAACTAACAAAATCCATACAAAAAGCTCTTTCAAACAATTCCTCCTTATTAAATCAACCAAACAGGACACCCATCTCACCGGAAATATTATTAGAAATAGAAACTAAACGCATCCTAAGGAAACGGTGGCAACAAACCCATGACCCAACATACAAGAAAATGTACAACGCACAAATCAACTATGTTAAAAAACTATTACAGACCCACAGGCAAGAAGAATGGGATACCTTTACTCAGACTTTAAATTTCGAAGACAAATCAATTTATAAGCTAAACCGCAGGTTACTACGGAAAAAACCGGCATGCGCTCCACTGAAAACAACAAGTGGATACGTATCTTTGACGAAAAACTGAAAGCTGAACTTTTTGCGGACACGATGAGTACTCAATTTTCAAATAATCCAGGTCCTCCAAACAAAGAAGTGGAACACTCCATCCAAATAATCAACGACGACCAAACACCAAACAACGACTATATCACTCCAAATGAAGTCCTAGATATCATCAAGAAACTACCAAAAGCCAAAGCTCCAGGCATGGATCAAATAACCAATACCACCCTTAAAAACTTGCCCAGCTCATCAATTATAACTCTTGCCAGAATATACACTGCATGTCTAAGATACTCATACTTTCCGAAATACTGGAAAACCGCAGCTGTAATTATGATTCCTAAACCAGGAAAACTCCACTCGGCTCCAGAAAACTATCGTCCAATATCGTTACTCAATACAATGTCAAAAATTCTCGAAAAATTAATCTTGTTCCGACTGAAAAAATATATTGAACCTCGTCCAGAACAACATGCCTTCAGAACAGGACACTCCACCACACTACAACTAACAAAACTAATTGACGACCTATCTGTCAGCCAAGGCCGAAAACAGCGTACTGCAGCACTATTCTTAGATATGGAAAAAGCATTCGACAGGGTATGGCACAACGGTCTTATACACAAACTCCTCGGTACGAGAACACCCATTAACTTGGTAAAACTCATCAAATCATTCCTGACCAATAGACAATTCTTTATCAAGATATCCCACCACCAGTCAACAACAAGGCAAATCGAAGCAGGCGTTCCGCAGGGCTCATGCTTATCCCCACTATTGTATACCGTGTTCATCAACGACCTACCTTCCGAACCACAGGTATCAACATCTCTGTTTGCGGATGACACTATGTTTCACACTAGCAACAAAAACGCTACCTACGCTATACTAAGACTACAACGGCAAATAAACATAACAACGAGATGGCTCACTCAGTGGAGATTACGACTAAATGTTTCCAAAACAGTTGCAATTCTCTTTGGAACGAAAGCAACAACTAAATTAAAGAAAATTACGATCCACAACACGGAAATCAACTGGTCAAGAGATGCAAAATATTTAGGAGTAACATTAAACAAGTCCCTAAGTCTCCACAATCATGTTGAGGACATAATTAACAAGGCCAAACGATCAAGAGCGGCACTCTATCCGCTGCTAAATAGCAAAAGCCATATCCCAATTAATGCAAGACTATCTCTATTTAAAATATATATAAGGCCCATCCTCCTCTACGCCGCACCTGCATGGGGGCCTAAAATTAGTAGGTCAAACTGGAAGAAGATCGAAGCCGTGCAAAACGTAGGACTAAGATCAATAACAGCCATTCCACCATACCAGTCAAACAAATCCTTACTCGCAATAACTAAAATCCCGTCAATAGAGGAAGATGCCAGGAAAGCCACTACGATAATGTTTAATAAAAACACAAGATCCCTCTACCCACACATTCAAAAATTAGGAGTACCAGACCCAGAAGACCCTATATGTAAATCAAGACCTTTCTACTTCAAAAAATAACACCTAAATAAACAAGCCAAAACTCCGAGAATTACATCATACAGGAAGACAAAGACATAAGTCTGGTACTTCCCATTAGGCCACAGGCCGTCACCCATAGCAATAGCAATAATAGATTATATTAAATGAGATTATAATTAAAGGATTAGAGTAAAAATAAATATTAATGAACAATAGTTCAGAAGGAAATATTAATGACGAATTTGAAACGATAGCTAGAGAAACGTTAGATAGAATAATTGAAATAATCGAAAACGAAAGTAATTTAGAAATTGACGTAAACAATACTGATATCGAAATAGTTGACAACATAGAAATAAATAATTTAGACGAAGAATTAGATTTATTTAATGAAGAAATACTTAATGAACGTATAGAAACTAAACCAATAACCAGTGATATATTAAATAAAAGTTTACGATTAATAAACCTAGAAGAGTTTGAAAATAGTCCTACTACTAGCGCAATTCGTCAAGGGTTACGAAGTAGTAGAAATACTATACACACCGAATATATTCAACCAAAAAGAATAGTTATAGTAAAGAAAATGCCAGGTAGTACCGACGGGAAATCCATAAGTGCGTTAGACGCAATAAAATTAATTCCTAACTATTCAGGACAAACTGAAATATATCCATTTTTAAATGCATGCGAAGTAATCATAAATACGGTAGATTCAGAACAGCACCCTTTTATGTTAAAAATGATAGCAGCTACTAAATTGTCAGACAGAGCTTTTAATGTAACCAGATATAAGGAAATTAAGGTATGGGAAGATATGAAAAAAATATTATTAGACGCATTCGAAACTCCCTATGGCGCAGCTAATTTACAAATCGAATTAAATATAATAAAATTAAAAAATAATGAAACCATATGCGCGTACAACAATAGAGTGGAAGAAATATACTAAAAACTATGTAACACAGTAGCCATAGACAAAACACCGGCAGTAGCACAAATATTACGTGACAATATTAGGGAACAAGCTTTAGTCAGTTATATAAACGGTTTAAGCGACCAAATAAAATTTGAAGTAAAAACAAAAAGTCCTACCTCTCTTGAACAAGCAATGCAAATCGCGTTAATTACCGAAAAAAATATTCGTACTCACAATGATGTACAAGAAATTTTCGGCGCAAATAATACGTACAACAATAGAAATGCTCATCAAAATAGGCAATATAATAATAATAATAATTAAAACACAGCGTACAACTATCGTAATAATATTAATAATAATAATACTAACAGAAACAATTCCTACGATAGGAATACTAATAGAAACCCGAATCCAAGAAGCAACAATTACAATGTTAGGCGTTGTCATACATGCAACCGCGAAGGACATTTTGCATCGCAATGCCGAATGAACAATGTAGCGTATAATAGTAGACCACCCAATCAGAATAATTTCACACGTCCACCCACTAATTATAATGCAAGGAGCGATACCTGCACTTACTGCAATAAACCAGGACATAATATAGCCGCCTGCTATAAAAAACAAAACGACGAGCGACGTAATAAAAACTCGGGAAACGAGCGGACATCTCACGTACCCCCCGGAGCACGTGCGATCAATCACATATCCGTGGACCCATCCGAGATTGTTACCCCATTATATTAACGAAAATAAACAACAATAATCACATAAAATGTAAATCACCCGCCTGTATAGATGAAGAATTAGAATTTTTAGTCGACACAGGTAGAGAAGTAAATATAGTAAAAAACAATATATTAAATTACGATATAGTAGTAGATAAAACACAAATAGTAAATTTAAAAGGAATTAACGATAAAATAATACAAACAATAGGCAAGCTTACAATACCTTTGATAATCCAAGGGCAAGAAATTAGCACCGAATTTAATTTAGTTGACGAAAACTTTCCAATAAGGAAAAATGGTATATTAGGAAATAGTTTTTTATCAGAAAATAACGCTGTAATAAACCTAGCCAATAAAACTCTAGTAATTAATGCTAACAAAAATAAACAAAAGGAGTTACTATTAACCCCAAGATCAGAAACAATCGTATCAATACCTATAGCTGCAAAGGATGTAGAAAGTAAAGATATTTTAATTCACAAACAAGAAATAATGGAAGGCGTATTTTGTGGAAGCGTAATAAATACCGTACAGAACGGTGAAGTAATAATTAGTATTTTAAATATAACCGAAAAACCCCAAAGCGTTATGTTAAGCAATTTAAATAAAATACGATATGATCATGAATTCGAATATAATACTCAGTCAATAGTACAAGACGATAATAAAAATAAACGCATAAAAGAAATAAGACAATTGATTAGGAGCGATCATATGGATAATGAGCAAAGGCAAACTATTTTGGAAATATGTGAACATTACCAAGACATATTTCATTTAACGGGAGACACGTTAACATATACAAATACGTTAACGCATAAAATTAATATACCGGAGAATCAGGAGCCCATATATAAGCGACCGTATCGCTTACCACACGCGCAAATGGCCGAAATAGATTCTCAAATCAAACAAATGGAAAAGGACGACATTATTGAACCCTCCTTTTCACCATGGAATGCTCCCTTACTTTTAGTAAAAAAGAAACTAGACGCGAGTCAAATACCAAAATTTAGAATAGTTGTTGATTTTCGAGCTTTGAATAAAGTAACGATAAACGAGTACCACCCACTACCCAACATTACCGAAATATTAGATCAGCTAGGACAATGTAATCTGTTCAGTATCATTGATCTTGCTTCAGGTTTTTACCAGATAAAATTAGATGAAAAAAGCAAAGAGCTTACAGCCTTTTCAACAAACCAAGGTCATTGGCATTTTAAAAAAATGGCAATGGGTCTTAAAACATCTCCATGTTCTTTCCAACGATTAATGAATAATGTAATGGCTGGTATCGTAGGCATAAAATGTTTAGTGTATCTAGATGATATAATAATATACGGCAAAGGGTTACTTGATCATAACGAAAAACTACGCGACGTATTCGAACGATTACGAAATCATAACTTAAAAATACAACCAGCAAAATGCGAGTTCTTAAAACAACAGTGTATGTATTTAGGTCATATAATTAGTGAAAACGGCATACAACCGGATCCTGCAAAGGTCGAATCAGTATTACGGTTTCCAGCACCAACAAACGTTAAAGAAATCAAATCGTTTTTGGGACTTTCTGGGTACTATAGGAAATTTATAAAATCTTATAGCTTAATAGCAAAACCAATGACAAACCTATTAAGGAAGGGCGTTACCTTTAACTGGGACACCCCTTGCCAAGAAGCATTTGATAAATTAAAAAATATCCTATGTTCGGAACCTATATTACAGTATCCAGACTTCACAAAACCATTTATCGTTACCACAGATGCAAGTGGAAAAGCTCTAGGTGCCATATTATCCCAAGGGGAAGTATCACGGGATTTACCTATTGCATATATATCTAGAACTTTAAATAAAAGTGAAAACAATTATAGTACTACTGAACTTGAG